GCCGAGAGCAAGGACACGCAGCACACAAGCAGCTGATGTAGCCTACGCACAAGGCAATCGATCGCAAACACGCAGTCACCCAGGTCCAAGCACAAGAACCTCGCTTACCTGCAGAAGTGTGTAGGGCGAGAGGGACGTCTCTTGTCCAGGCTGCTCCCCTGTATACTTGGCGGCAGGAAAGGGTCGTTGTGGGACAGGTCGTGTGTCGGCGGTCGTTGTATGTGTCGTCAGGAGCGTCGTTCAGCGAAGGCAGGTGTGGGGCGCATACGTCGTGCAGCGTGTAGGTGTGCGCCAGCAGGGTGCTGCAAAAACAACGTCAGCAGAAACGGGTGGCCAACCCAGGGTTAAGCCGCTTTACTGTGCTTAAAGTTTTTAAATGTTTGCTGTGTCAGCTTTGCTACAAGCTACTCGCGCTTGAAGCAGAATTGACGTAGCGTTCTTTGCAAAATTGACGACGACACAAATCAGCTGACAGCAACGAAAACCAGCTGTGCAACCCGCTGCGCGGCTCTGAAAGAAGCAGTACCAATGCAAAATCAGCTGCGCCCTCTGTGGCACACCTCTGATTCAGCTGTCAGCAAGGCAAACCAGCTGCACCCTCTGTGACGAGCTCACAACCAGCTTGTCAGCAGCACAAACCAGCTGCACTCTCAAGCGCAGCTCTAAATAACCTGTCAGCGGTGCAAAATCAGCTGCGCTGCGCTCTAAACTGCCTGTCGAACAACACGAATCAGTTGCGCTGAGCGCTAAACAACCTGATCAATGTGCAAACCGGCCTGCAATTTGCTGAACGTTTCTGCACGTAACCTGTCGATGCACAACCAGCCTGCAGTCTGCTGTCCACGAGCAACTCACGCTGTCTAAACTGCCAACCCGACAAGAAAACTTGCTGCCTTCACGACCAACAACTTGCCGAGCATGCAAACCAGTCTGAAATGCTGACAGCCTGTCAATCCGACGCTACGTTTATTTTAAAAACAACTTGCAACAATACAATTCAGCCTGGCTGCAGACCTGGCGCATACTCAAGCAATTCTGACGTTCAATGCCAATCAGCAATACAATGCTAAAATGATC